TAACCTGCCTTTCCATCAGATGTATAGTGGAGTACTTGTCGGACAAAATCCGAATTCTAGTCACACATCAAATCCAATTCATACGAAAAGCCACACAAATACTGGTCTTAAGCTCAGAGGGCCGGTGCCTGGGGTTGGGCTCATACGACGAGCTCCAGTCCCAGGGAATCGACTTCATGGCTATACTGAAAGATGTGGATCGGGAGGCCGAACACGACAAACAGGAACGGGAGCTCATGAGGCCGTTCTCCAATAATAGTTACGATGCGAAACAGACCCCAACACCTAATGAGACACTCCTGACGGATTCGACCGACGACGGGGTCCGGAGGCACTCCCGGAGCACATCTGTGGCTCAGACCAAGAACTTCGAAGTCTCCGACATTACGGGCGATGAGGAGGACTACTCGCATGAGCCCAGGGTTCAGGAGGAGAACCGAGAGGTGGGCTCTATCGGGGGGCACGTCTACTATGAATACTTTAAAGCCGGCGCCGGACCCATACTGTTCACGATTACCCTGTTCTCGACATTCATATCTCACAGTATATTACATTACTCCGATATATGGCTAACTAAATGGTAAGGGAGTTTAAGCTTGTAAATTTGTATTATTTTATATTAGGTCAATATTAAATAAAAGCTTTATTGTATATACTTCATGATAAATATACTAGGTCAATGTGATTTATATTTTATATAAATATATAAATTTAATCTAATATTACAAATATACTGAATCTATAAAATTGTAAATGTAAATTATTGTTTGTATTCAGGACTGATAAAAATCAAAAGGCTAATGTAATTGACCATGATACACGAAATTATTACGTCTACATCTATTCGGGACTAATTGGGGCTCTGTTTGTGACGGCCCTAATGCGGTCGACCACGTGGTTCATGATGTGTATGCGGGCGTCCGTTAATCTACACAACAGTATATTCACGCGTCTATTACGGGCACCGATAGCCGTGTTCGACAACAACCCCGTCGGTGAGCATAACAATAATTTATAGTCTGTTTGTAAAGTTTGTGAAATTATATCACTTTTTAAAATCATTAAGATAGTAATTTTGTTAGCAAATAAATAAGTATGATAAAACAGGCTCCTACAAACATAATATTTACTCAATAACATTTAATTAATCCAAATCTCCTGGATCTCTATGATAATTACTTTATTAGTATTATTATATCCATATAATTATAGGTCAAATGCTAAACAGATTCTCGAAAGACATGGGGATTGTCGACGAAATGCTTCCCACCACTGGTTTTGACTTCAATTTTGTAAATAAATTTAAATTAAATTAAATTTTTAATTAAAATAACTTATTATTATTAATAAGTTTTATGAGTGTTGTGTAGGAATTGAATATATTTTTGTCTCAATGCAGTCGCTGTTTGAAACGATTGGTATTATAATAACGGTGGCCACTGTCAATGTTTATCTAATCATCCCGGGTATTTTCTTAATTATACTTATGAAATAAGTTTTATGAGTTTGTGTAGGAATTGAATATATTTTTGTCTCAATGCAGTCGCTGTTTGAAACAATTGGTATTATAATAACGGTGGCCACTGTCAATGTTTATCTAATCATCCCGGGTATTTTCTTAATTATACTTATGGTGATTGTGAGGGGCATATACATGAAATCGGCCAGGGATATTAAACGTTTTGAGGGGATAAGTATGTGCTCATAGGGTAGTGATTATAATGTGGTTATAATTGTTTTAATTATCATTTTATAGCGAGAAGTCCAGTGTTTACTCACGTGAGCACAACCCTCAATGGGTTGGACAGTGTGCGGGCCTATGGGGCACAGGAGGCCTTTGAGCACCAGTACTATATCTACCAAAATGACCACACTGCCACCTGGTTCCTATTTGCCTGTGCATCCCGAACCCTGAGCCTCATTACGGACTGGATATGTGTGGCATATTTAGTGGCCATAGCCGTCGTGATGATGGTATTCCCCGAACAGATTGGAAACGGCGGTAGTGCCGGACTGGCCCTCTCGACAGGTGCGCTATTGATATACATATGAAATGAGTTTAGTATTGAAATGTAAGACAAATGCTTACAATAAGTGTATATATTGTTAGCCCTAATGATGACCGGAGAGACTCAATGGGGAGTCAAACAGTCGACTGAATTTGAAAGTCAGATGACTTCAGTCGAGCGTATCATTGAATACCAGA